GTACCTGATGATGACAAAACCTTGTCGAAACGTTGTACATTTGCTGTTATGTTAAACTTATATTAAAGTTTTTCTTCATTACCCATTCAAGCCGTCTCCACTCATTAATAATAACATTAGTACTCCTGTTTAACAACTTTAACGGTATGATACAATATTTTTTTCTTCTGATGAATAATAGATTAATGATCATTTAATTGACTTTGTGAGTTTAGAATCATTCATAAAATGAAGGCAATCCATAAACTTTGTAACACAGAATAGCTCCTGCGAAACCCATTTGGCCACTTATACGTATACTTATTCAATCAGCAATTTTTTAAAAGTACAATAGCGCCTTTTTTATATATATAATTTTGCGCAAAGCTTCTCAATGGCTAACTATCTGCGCTAGCTGTACCTAATTTTTAAGTGATAGACTCTAGAAGGAAGGTAGTTAGTCAACACTACCAACTCAATTCTTGAGCTACTATAATATATTAATATTAATTGATCATCACTTTTATAATTGCACCCATGACCTCAAAATGCGGAATACGATGTTTTATTTACTTATATTTTGCATTTACAGGAAGTGAATCATGGAACCTCAGTTCTATAGTTTCTCGGCTCTAATTATTTTTCAGATATTGCACTGAAGATAAATCCCATAGATAAATAATACTTTTTTTAGGCATTACTCTGATACAATGAATAACAAAATAAACACATCACTCATTATATGTTATTTTTATTGCGAATGTTAAACCGTATTTAGCATTGAAGTTTACCTTAGGTCCTATAATAAGACTGGTATATTTCAACAAATATTCCATTTTTAGCACAAATAATTTTGTGTGTAAATTTGAGATATAAAATACCAGTGGCAAGACTTGAATTTTTTTTATCTAATTTTCTATTAATATTAAAACTAAAAAGTCTCACGGTTTGTTTATCTTATTATTCCTATGTTTGAGCTTTAAGTACCTTATTTCAAAAATGATTCCTTACGATATCATAATTACTGCAGGAATCTGGACTCCTTGGTTTCAAAGTTCTGACAGAACTGTTATGATAAAGTCAAGTGACAGAAAGTAGAAAACATTTCTGGTAACTGTGATGCACGGTTGTTAATACCTGCATTTTGTTGTTATCGTTTGGTCGAACTGAATTAATGTTACATGTGGAATACCCGAGGGCTCAGTCTTAAGACATTTGCTCTTTTTGATTTATATTAATGACATAGCTGAAGGAATGGTCAATAAATTACTTAAATTTCCATATGATATTAAGGTCTTGGGTGTTACTATCTGTGAAGAGGATGCTGCTGATTTACAAAATAATTTAGATCAGTTAGTAAGATAGGCAAATAAATGGTGAATGGGTTTTAATTATAATAAATGCAAGATAATGCGTGTGGGTTACCATAATTTGAATTATAAGTATAATTTGGATGACAATAACCTTAACAGTGGCATAAAAGAAAGGGGATCTTGGTGTAATAGTTGATCAGTCTTTTAAGCCATCCAAGCAGTGTGCTGTTGCCAGTTGTGAGGCAAATATGATATTAGGTTTTATTTACAGGAATACTGAGTACAAGTCTAGAGAGGATATAATTCATTGTATAGGTCACTGGTTAGGCCACATTTGGAGTATTGTGTTCAGTCTTGAGAAGGACATTGAACTATTTGAAATGGTTCAAAGGAAGGTTACTAGAATGGTGCCTGGGATGGAGGGATTGTCATACGAGGAGAGATTGAAATCTCTCAAATTGTTTTCTCTTGAAAAAGAGAAGAGTGGATCTGATTGATGTGTTTAACATTGTAAAGAGAACTGATAGTGTTGATGCATCATCTTTTTTTATATTTAACAGTGAAAATAGTAGGACTAGGGGACACAAGTATAAGTTTTGGTAAGGTATCAGTCATCTTCAGCTAAGACAGTTTCATTCTTCCAACAGAGTGGTTGGCCTTATGAATGGGTTGCCTTTGGATGTTGAGGCAGTAAATTTAAGTGAGGTTAGAGAAAGCGTATGTATACAAATCATAAGGACAGGCCTTAAGATTTATTTTTTAAAAGTTTTAGTTTAGTTTAGAGGATGGGACAGCTGAGATGGACCAATAGGTCCCAAAACATTATGTTATGTTAAATTTTACTGTTGTTGTTGCTTTCAACAACAAGCAACTAGAGATTCTTATATTTTATCTTTGTTATTGGAAAGAGATAAACCCAGATAACAAAAAAATTAAAAGTCTGTTTTTTAAAAGGTGGCTCCCTCAGTGATTTATATATGTACTTCTCTTGATTTTAAATGAATAGTAACATATTTGACAGAATGTTGACTGGTAGTTTGACCAAAAATGATACTTTACTTACTTTGCGTCTTTTAAAATTTTTGCATAAAGCTACAAAACAAAGCTGTCCCTAATTTCAAACTGTTACACTAGAGGGGAGGACAACTATTCAACAGCACCCACTGGCAACTTTTGAATTAATCTGTCCAACCGAATAGCGGGATTTTATTAAATCTCTTGTAAGTTAACTAAAACTCCAATGTGCAGAGTGCAATACTTTATGTTTTCACATTAAACACTAATAGATGGATTTAGTTACTTTTAATAAAGGTTTACTACCAATCATTTAACATTAACAAGCCACTTTCCTTATAATACCACCATAGGAATTCTGAATATAAACTTCTGATATACAGAAAAATGTCTCGTATATTGTACTGGTGATACTTCTTTGCCAGCATATTCTATTCAGGTATATCAAATTCTTTTTGCTGGATGGTCAGACGAATAACCTATTTGGATTCATAGTGTTTCACAGTAGCCATTTCATTCAGTGAACTGATGAATCCTGCAACTTCTGGTATTAGTATAAATTATCAAGGATGTTCAACAATAAATAGAAAATTAATAACTAGTTTTTAAATTGTTACAGAAGTCACATAAGGGAGATTGTTTTCCATCACATGCATGTGGTTCCCTTGATTAATTTCACTTTTAAATTCACAATGCTAAACAATCTTTAATATTTTGTTTAACTTGGTATATTTAGATTACTTTTTTAAAACCTAATATATATTTAAATCATGTGAACTGTCACATAATGCATTAATTTGATTGTAGTGTATACTAGTCTTATTGTTTATGTATCTTCTTACTTAATATTATAAAATCTGAAACCCAATGACTGGTATTTCATACAGTGTGACAAAACAAGTTTCGTTTCTAACACAGCTAGAAAGCTTTAATATCTTTCAAATGTACATTTTTTTCCTATTCCCTAACTGTTCATACCGTCAATTATTCTACACAGCAAAGGTTGAAACAAATAATGTTCACTACATCAGTTAGTCTGAAAAGTTATTTACTACAAATTGTTTTTTTCCTCTAAAAATACATCAACGCCACAAGAACTCGTTTGCTTTATCATCGTAAGCTTTTTCACTTGTGTGCGCATAATATTCCTCCAATATTGGATCAAGCAGTTTTTCTTTTGGTACAGTCTTGTAGATGGGTTCTCCATAATATGTGCCAACTTCCCAACCGGGAACATTTTTCATCAGTTCAGCTTCTTCTTCTACATTTCTTCGTAACTGCTTCAGATATCTGTAACGTATAATTCTATAGATATTAGGAACTTTGTCACATGTTCTTAAAGACAGTGCATTCGCATGTATATCACGATATTACACAGACCATCACATCAAGTTGTATTTGACCAAGAGTTATACACTGATGCCTACAGGAGCACTAATTAAGCACAGCACTTTTAAAACTTTATATGTTTAATTATGTTAGAGATTAAGATTGCCATTATTACATAAAATAGTTTACACTAAATAATATGTAAGAAATGCATTCAAAAACCAACAAATAGAATAAACACAACAGAAACAGTAGATAAAAATGTACCGTCAGCTAGCCAATCACTATACTGACGATGTTTTCTTTTTGGATTTTTATTCTACTTAACGTAAACCCTTAAAAAGCATAAATATTTCCTGAATACATTGCTGGATTTGATGGCTAATTATTCATATATATTTATTTTTTTCTCACTTACTAATAAAAATGTGGCTCTAGCAAACTCAACTGAAGTATAAAACTTACGATCTATCTCTTTCAGCAAGTAGTATAGGTTCTAGGGCATTAATAGCGTCCTGACGTTCGATCTTTAGCAGTCTTGAAAAAAGAAAATGTTACTTAAATAAACAAAACTTACAATTACAAAAAACAGTAATGCACAAGTCATAAATATATGTCCAACTGGAAGCCATATTGATTTATACAGTTGAAAAGAACAGAAAATAGTTTATTGTGTATTTAGAACACTAGCTTATGACTTCTCAAAGTTGAAACATAGGCAATTTTATTACACTACGACAACCGATATTAAGAAACACTGATTAGGTACAATTGATAAAACTACACTTGTACTGAAGTTACATGTTTAAATTGACTATTTCATTCAAAACTATTCTGATTTTCCTCCTAGGGAGCTATAAGTATCATATTATTATCAGAGCATGCTGAAATAAACACTAAATCAAAACTTGAGATTACATCTTTTTAAATAAATAAAACTTTGTGGTTGAATACATTCGATCTTTGGAGTATTTAACAGAAAAAAAAAAAGTGTGGTAGAACAACTATAAATTTATTTTCTATTGAGAACATGGGGAGCCAACTGCATGCCAAGGTGTTAATGGAATTACCAACAACAATATTCTTTCACTGCAGTAAAACATACTTTTCAGGTTATAATTTTTGGTTTCTTTCACATTTCCTTTACAAAAACTTACCTTCAACTGTGATAATATTCAACCTGTTCTAGTTTCTACTCTACAGTGAACCACACTTATTTGTACAGTTACAAAATGTCACTAAAATTCTTAATCTGTAATACATGTTCCGATAAGAAATACAAAAATTTTAAAAATGTGCTCTTAATTCCGTTAAGCTCAAAAAAGGCAACTGGCTAGCAGCATCACATCAATGTTTTTGTTTGTGCATAACATATTTTAAAGACTACTAAATTAACGTCCCAGTTCTACTGTCATAATAGTTGTATGTAGCTCATTTTACTGCAGATAATGCTGCCACGACAGTTGCATGTAGCTTATTTTACTACAGATAATGCTGCCACAACAGTTGTATGTAGTTCATTTTACTACAGACAATGCTGCCACAACAGTTGTATGTAGTTCATTTTACTACAGATAATGCTGCCACAAATTGTATGTACCTCATTTTACTAACTCAGCTAGTAAAAACACTGTATATTTACCAAAAGAAAATGATAAAAATTAAACATATGACTGCACATGGTGAACTATCATGTTTAAATTTACTTAAAAACAGTTAGTAAAAACACTGTATATTTACCAAACATACGACTGCACATGGTGAACTATCATGTTTAAATTTACTTAAAAACAGTTAGTAAAAACACTGTATATTTACCAAACATACGACTGCACATGGTGAACTATCATGTTTAAATTTACTTAAAAACAGTTAGTAAAAACACTGTATATTTACCAAAAGAAAATGATAAAAATCAAACATACGACTGCACATGGTGAACTATCATGTTTAAATTTACTTAAAAACAGCTAGTAAAAACACTGTATATTTACCAAACATACGACTGCACATGGTGAACTATCATGTTTAAATTTGCTTACCTTCTCCTCTTAAAATTTTGATAGTACATATAAAATGAAAATGATGTTATTGCAGCAAACCCAGCAAACATGGTGTACCCTGTAAAGACAAAAACATTTAACCTCTTAAACATGATCTATTCTAATGATTTTTAATATTCAGAAATCATATGGTAAGAGCATAAAAAAACCATTAGCAGCTGATTCAACATTCCAGAGCGATACATTTTCTAGAAGTTAATTCTATGTTTGTATTCTATCAGGCCTTTAGCCAGTGACCTGTCCACTCGCATAGAGAATCCATTTTTCATCACCGGTGACAATTCTGTCCAAAAGAGGTTCACGCACATTACATGCCAGAAGAGACAAAGGAACATTCACATGTTGGAAACAATGA